AAAAATAAGGAATTCCAGAACACTTAATTGTGCTCATGAGGAACCTGTACATAGATCAAGAGGCAGTCATTTGAACAGAACAGGGGATACTGTGTGGCTTAGAGTCGGGAAAGTGTGCATCAGGGTTGTATGCTTTAACCATACTTATTTAATCTGTATGCTGAACAAATAGTCTGAGAAACTGGACTATATGGAGAAGAATGTGGCATCAGGATTGGAGGAAGACTCATTAACAACCTGTCATATGCATACGACACAACCTTGCTTGCTGAAAGTGAAGAGGACTTGAAGCACTTACTGATGAAGATCAAAGACTACAGTTTCCATTATGGATTGCACCTCAACATAAAGAAAACAAAAATCCTCACAAATGGATCAATAAGAACATCATGATAAATGGAGAAAAGATTGAAGTTCATTTTACTTGGACCCACAATCAATGTCCACGGAAGCAGCAGTCAACAAATCAAATGACACATTGCACCGGGCAAATCTGCTGTAAAAGACCTCCTTAAAAGTGTTAAAAAGCAAAGATGTCACTTTAAGGGCTAAGGTGTGTCTGACGCAAGCCATGATATTTTCAATTGCCTCATATGCATATGAAAACTGGACAATGAATAAAGAAGACCGAAGAATTGCTGCCTTTGAATTATGGCGTTGGCGAAGAACACCGACCATACACAGACTGTCAGAATAATGAACAAACCTGTCTTGGAAGAAATACAGTCAGAATGTTCCTTAGAAGCAAGGATAGTGAGACTTTGTCTCATGCACTTTGGGCGTGTTGTCAGGAGGATCCAGTCCCTGGACATTGTGCTTGTGTAAGGCAGAGGGTCAGCGAAAAAAGAAGAAGACCCGCAACGAGATGGACTGACACATTGGCTGCCAACAATGGGCTCAAGCATAGCAATGATTGTGAGGATGGCACAGGACTAAGCAGTGTTTTTTTCTGTTGTACTTAGGGTTGTTATGAACTGCAACTGACTCGATGGCACCTAACAACAACAACAGGGTCATCAAGATGCTGGAAAATGATGATATACTCATGCCACTTAAGAACTTATTGGGTGCAGTGCAAGGATATATAAAAAATATAATTGGGACTCTCCTTCATGCCTGAGAATCTATGATTAAAACATATTTCAATACAATAACAAAGATATATATACATGATTGTTCTTCAATTTTCTCAGCAATTGTATAAACAAATACAACTCAAATATTCAAATACAGTACTGGCCCAGGCAGTAATGGTACTGTCATATTGTAAAATATTAAATGTCAGTAAAATTGATATATATTTACTCATATAAAGATCCCCAAGGAAAATATTTAAAGTATAACCACTTTCAAAAATTTATATATATATATATATATATGATTATACTTTAAAATATTTTTCTTTATATACAGACTGATTTTAAAAGACCATAATGGGAAAAGAAAAAAAAAAAAAACTTCAATCCATGCTTAGGATTTCATTCAGATTTTAAAGCTTCTGAGTTACTAAAATTTCAATGAAATCACTTTTATAATCATAAATGTTAGTATTTCAAGTTTAAAGAAATAACACAGTGTCCATGTGTTAATCACTTGAAATTATTTTTGTATTTGGAATAGCACTGTGCACTCATTCCTCCACTCCTACAAACTCCTAGTTGCCATCCTACCCCTCCAAAGTCCACAGCCACTGAACCCTTGTCCCCTTTACAGTCCTGTGATTAAGATTGTGTGTCAACTTGGCTGGGCCATGATCCTCAGTAGTTTGGCAATTATGATGTAGTTTTGCAGCTTTTTAATGATGTAATCATCTCCAATGATGAGATCTGTTGTAAGCAGCCAATCAGTTGAAAGTGAGTTTCCTTGGGGGTGTGGCCTACATTCAATATAGGTGGACATTCTGGCGAGGCTCGCTGGCTTTTGCTTGCTCTGGATCCTGCAGCTAGTTCCTGTTACTCTGACCTCTGGTTCTGGGGACTTGTGCTAGCGGTTTACCTGCCATCTTACCTGCTGATCTTGGGACTCGTTGGCCTCCACAGCCTGTAAGCCAGAGGCCTGCTATCTGACCTCCTGATCTTGGATTGGCCAGCACCTGTGGCTATGTGAGTCAGTAGAGGTCTCCAGCCTGACCCATGAACTTGGGACTTTCCAGCCTCTACAACTGTGTCGGCCATTTCCTTTACATCAATCTTTCTATATATATTTATATGCTGCACTGGTTTTTCTTCTCTAGAGAATTCAGCCTAAGGCAACTCCCCAGTGCTTACTAATTAAGGAGTGCTGGTGGCACAGTGGTTAAGCATTCAGCTGCTAACTGAAAGGTCAGTGGTTTGAACCTATCAGCCACTCCGCAGGAGAAAGATGTGGCAGTCTGCTTCCATAAAGAGCATTCTGGTTGTTCTTCTTCCAGAACAGATTTGTTTGTTCTGGCAGTCCATGGTATATTCAATGTTCTTCGCCAACACCATAATTCAAAGGCATCAGCAACTCTTCAGTCTTTATTCACTGTCCAGCTTTCGCATTCATATGAGGTGAGTGAAAATACCATGGCTTGGGTCAGACACACCTTAGCCCTCACAGTGACATCCTTACCTTTTAACACTTTAAAAAGGTCTTTTGCAGCATATTTGCCCAATGCAGTGCATCGTTTGATTTCTTGACTGCTCAATGTTCTACTGCTATTTGTAAGGGTTTTCCACTGGCTAATTTCTTCAGAAATAGACCTCCAGATCCTTCTTCCTAGTCTTAGTCTGGAAGCTCAGCAGAAACCTGCCCGTCGTGGGTGGCTGTCACGGATTGAATTGTGTCCCCCCAAAATATCTGTCAATTTGGCTAGGTCACGATCCCCAGTATTACATGATTGTCCACCATTTTGTTATCCAATGTGATTTTCCTATGTGTTGTAAATCCTATCGCTATGATGTTAATGAGATGGGATTAGTGGCAGTTATGTAAACTCTCCAACTTAAACCAATTTCTTTTGAAATGTAAAAGAGAGAAGTGAACAGAGAGACGGGGGACCTCATTACCAACAAAGCAATACCAGAAGCAGAATGTGTTCCTTGGACCTGAGGTTCCTGTGCTGAGAAGCTCCTAGTCCAGGGGAAGACTGATGGCAAGGAGCTTCCTCCAGAGCCGAGGAAGCCTTCCTCTGGAAGTGACACCCTGAATTTGGACTTCTGGCCTACCAGACTGAGAGAATAAACTTCTGTTTGTTGAAGCCATCCACTTGTGGTATTTCTGTTATAGCAGTGCTAGATAACTAAGACAGTGACCCAGCATCAAATCAACACGCAAGCCACCACAGTATGACAAACTGATAGACATGTGGGGACTTAGGGCTAGCAACAGGAAAAATCTCCAGCATCCCTAGCCCTGAAGGGGAAAGGGGAGTGTGGTGACTCTATAATGTGGCAACTTGGCTAGACTGAAGTATATTCCCCAGAACTCCCTTCCCTGTATGTTTCCAGTTACAGTGAGCCACAAGAGACACTTCTGTGTAAAAACTGGAGGATTGAAGTGGAGAAGCATTTTGTTTTTATGCTCAAAAAGTCACAGCAAGACTTCTGTAATTCGCACACTGTTTCTCATCTGCTGGCTCTCCTTGTAGGTGTGGGGCAATGGTGAGGCCCACAACTGCTCTACCTTCTCCAGGATTCCTTAGGTTTTCCAACTTGTCTTAGTCATCTAGTGCTGCTATAACAGAAATACCACAAGTGGATAGCTTTAACAAAGAGAAGTTTATTTCCTCCTACAGTAAAGCAGGCTAAAAGTCCAAATTCAAGGTGTCAGCTCCAGAGGAGGGCTTTCTCTGTCAGCCTTTTTTATCAATCTTCCCCCGGATACGAGCTTCTCTGCGCAGGGACCCTGGGTCCAAAGGTCGCACTCTGCTCCTGGCACTGCTTTCTTGGTGGTTTGAGGTCTCCCATCTCTCTGTTCGCTTCTCTATCTCAAAAGAGATTGCCTCAAGACACAATCCAATTTTGCAGACTGAGTCCTGCCTCGCTAACACAACCGCCACCCATCCTCCCTGATTAGCATCATAGAAGCATGATTTACAACATGTAGGAAAATCACACAATACCAGGAGTCATGGCCCAGCCAAACTGATAGTTTTTTGGGGACATAATTCAATCCATGACATACCTCCTGGGACAGGTGTGTGTTTAGCAACACAATGACGGGCACTAGCTTCTGCAAGACACCCCTATCAAGGTTGAAGACAATGAGGACTGAAACATGTTCCAGTCTGTCTTTGTGAATGGTAACCTCATGTTTCATAGTAGAACTGTGCTCCAGAGTTTTCAACAGGTTTTCTGGAAGTAAATTGCCACACCTTTCTTCTGAGGCACCTCTGTGTGGACTCAAACCTCCAACCTTACAGTTAGCAGCTGAGTGTGTTATGTTTGTACCACCCAGGGACTCCCAAGTAGGTATCAGGTAATAAAACTAGGGAGACAGACACTTTCTGGATTCAAAAACTATCAGAATTCTTTGTTGCTCAAAGCTGCTTATCTCTGCATTTTTTCCTACAGCACTGCTGTTTTCTGGACTTGGCCACTGGAAGGTCTGGCATCACATATTAGCTATCCTGTGCCTACCGCCCATTAGAAAAGTCTTAGGAAGGGCTCTCATTAGCTCAACTTTATCAAATTCTCATCTCCAGTACAATCACTGTAGGGTCAGGATGATGGGGTACCATAGTTAGTCCTCTTGACCTAACTGCCACCTCTGAGGATAAAGGGGCTGGGTCTGCTACTAGAAGACATGAAGACAGAAAGAGAAGACAAAAACCAAGCTGCCTAATCTGAGAATTTAATATACCATAAATTGGGGAATTGTATATTGTTTAATCAGCATATGATCAACAGTATTGATTAGGACTAAAATAAGATCCTCACACGTCATAAGTAACACTGTGGAGAGATCAATTAATTTTACTTAAATAATTTTGTTTCATATTTTAAAAGGGAGACAACTTGGTATGTTTGAATTAAACATTTTCACAGTTCACACTGAATGTTCTACTACATTTGCTAAACATACTGTATTTCTCTACTGTGTGAGTTCTCTTATGTACCAGTGTTGGCTTATGGCAGAAAAGTCTCCTATGTTCATTACATTCATAAAATTTCACACATCTGTAAGTATTCGTAAGATTTAAGGCTCTTATATTTATTTCTTCCTTGGAATTCACTGCCTTTCTGGCACCTATTCCTTATGAGTTTTCTGATGTAAAAGGAAATTTGATTTGTGGCGAAATGTTTTCTCACATGTGTTACATTCATAGGGTTTTTCCCCTGTGTGTATTTTCTGATGTTCAGTGAAAGTCCACAGCTGACGGTAGGTTTTCCCACATTCATTACATTCATATGGTTTCTCTCCTGTGTGAATTCTCCGGTGTACCCTGAGGGTTGATTTATGGCAGAAGGCTTTCCCACATTCATTACATTCATACGGTTTCTCCCCAGTGTGAGTTCGCTGATGTTCAATGAAGGAGAACTTCTGACAGAAGGTTTTCCCACATTCATTACATTCATAGGGTCTCTCTCCTGTGTGGGTTCTCTGATGATGAGTAAGGGCTGACTTCCGGCAGTAAGTTCTCCCACATTCATTACATTCGTATGGTCTCTCCCATATACTTCTCTGATGCACAATTAAGCGCGTGCTTTTACTGATGGCATGCCTATGTTCATTACACTCATAAAGATTCTCCTTTGTGTATATTCTCTTACGTTCCTTGTGGTTTGACTTCACACTGAATGTTTTACCGCATTTATTAAACACACTGTGTTTCTCTCCTGCGTGAGTTCTCTGATGTATAGTGAGTGTTGACTTACGACAGAAACATTTCCCACATTCATTACATTCATAAGATTTCTCTCTTCTATGAGTTATCTGATGTACAATGAGGGCTGATTTGGTACATAAAAATTTTCCACACTGACTGCATTCATAGGGTTTCTCTCCTGTATGAGTTCTCTGATGCACATTGAGGGCTGATTGACAAAAGAAGGTTTTCCTACATTCATTACATTCATAGGGTCTCTCCCCTGTGTGAATTCTCTGATGTGCAGTAAGGGCTGAATGACAAAAGAAGGTCTTCCCACATTCATTACATTCATTTGGTTTCTCTCCTCTATGAGTTCTTTGATGTACAGCAAGGTAAGATTTCTTGCTGAAGGCATTCCCACATTCCTCACATTCATAAGGTTTCTCCCCTGTGTGTGACCTGAAATGTTCAGTGAGGGATGACTTCCGAAAGAAGGTCTTTCCACATTCATCACACTCATGGGATTTCTCCCCTCTATGAATTTTCTGATGTACAATGAGGGCCGATTTGTCAGTGAAAGTTTTCCCACATTCACTGCATTCATAGGGTCTCTCTCCAGTATGAATTCTTTGGTGTCGAGTGAGGTGTGTCTTCACACGAAATGTTTTCCTACAATCATTACAAACATAGGGTTTCTCCCCTGTATGAATTCTCTGATGTACAATGAGGTTAGATTTCTTAGAAAAAGTTTTCTTACATTCATTGCATTCATTTGGTTTCCTTTCACTATTTACTTTCTTTTGTGTAATGAGGACTGTCCTCTTGAAGGTTTTCCCACATTTATTATAGTCATAAGCTTGTTTCAAAGTCTGAATGTTCTGGTGCAGAATAAGATCTTCACTTTGAATTCTGGCTTTCCTAATTTGATTATATTTGTACTTTTTCATTCCTGAATGAGTTATCTCATGCTTAGTATGAAACAGTAGTTTCCCACATCCACTATATTCATTAGGAATCCTTTTAAAATAGCTTTTCTTTACAATTACTTCTGAATTAGTTTTTGAACTGTTCCCACATGAGTCATCTTTATAGGGTATTTTTATTGAAGGAACAATATTCATGCCCAGATTAAACGTGTTCCCAAATATATCAGCTCTCTCTGCAATCAGTGTATTGTTGCTAAAGAATACAATTTGCATCAGATGTTTGTTTTGGACGTCCTCGTTCTTCTTTAATGCACCATCAACTTCTAGAAAGGAGCACAATTAATAATTTGTGAGTCTTTACATATCTGTCATGGAAAGAGAATTCCTTACAAATGCCTTGTCGTGGGGGACTGGACTTCAGGCCTAGCCTCGTAGGATTCAAGAAATGTCAAGTTTGAAATGTCTGGATTGCCTCAGCCTAGTTCCAACCCTTGGGCTGAGAATGGAAAGTAAGACTGAGTTATTTCTCAGAAAAATGATGAAGAGAAAATGGAAGGCAACTAGAAAGATCATGCAAGTTAATCAGGATTTATTTTTTTAAGACAGATCTACAAATATCTGAATATAAAACAAGTCCATGACAACAGAGTAAAGTAGGCAACAGAGAATGCTACAGAAATGAAGTTTAAAGTGTAGTAAAAGAGGGATTTGCTTCTAGGGATAACTAACTCAATAGCAAAAGTCTTTACAAATTTCAATTACAGAAGAAGTGCACTTATTCAGGGATAATGACTTAGGTATCTATGGCATGACAGTTAATTGTCCTCAACCACTTTCAAAGGTCTAAAGCCAAAAAGAAATTCTTGAAAACATTACAAAGATGTCAACTATGACCAACGACCACCTTGGAACTCCCATTTCCCCTGGTTTCCACCTGCCCATTTATTGCCTTAAAGGAGCCCTGGTGGCGCAGTGGTTAAGCACTTCGCTGCTAAACGAAAGGTTCTAACCAATCAGCTGTTCCATGAGAGAAAGATGCGGGAGCCTACTTCTGTAAAGACTACAGCCTTGGAAACCCTACGGGGCAGTTCCACTCTGTCCTATGGGGTCACTACCAGTTGAAATCAACTCGATGGTAACGTGTTAGTTATCACCTTACTCACCTGAGTAGTTCTGACTTGAGAATTCCTCTTCCATCCATGGTTCTTCTCCTTGCTCCAGTTTGAAGATCACATCTGGTTTGCTAACGTGACATCCTGTTAATGGGAAATAATACAGAAACTGGACCAAGCTCTTTGGACTTTAGGAACCCTGAAGGGTGAAGGAAGTTCAGATTTAGAAGCTACACAATGAAGAAGCCCAACAATAGCTCAGTAAAGCTAGAAGCTTTTGGTAAAGGCATGGGCATAGGAGGGTGGTGGGAGAAGGTACGGAACAGTGAATATATACATACAGCTCTATTGCCTAAAAGAGCTTAACCATCGTTCTTCCTGATACTCAAGGCTAAATAAGTAAGTTCTAGAAATACAACTTATTTTTTGTGGCACAGAGGGAATACATGCTCTTGGGAGTTATACATGCAGCTGTGCTTACCCACTGAGACTAGGTTGCTGTAGTTCTCGAGCATCACATCCCTGTACAGGAGCCTCTGAGCAGGGTCCAGCTGCTGCCACTCCTCCTGGGTGAAGTCCACAATCAGGTCCTTAAATGAAACCGATCCCTGAAAAAACATGATTTGAAGTGATTAGAATTGAGTGACATCAAGTATATGGAAACATCAAATATAAGGAGGCCATTCTTAGGGATAATGAAAAGCAAAACAGAGATATACTTTGTAGGATGAAAAAAAAAAATTACCAATAACCTGTTACTGTGTTCATTTTTTAAATTTAAGAAATCTGGACACGCCCATTTGTATACTCATTATCTGTCACACTACTACAGCTGAGTTGAGTAGTTTTGACAGAGACCATATAGCAAGCAAAGCCAAAACATATTTCATATCTGGCCCTTTAAAGAAAATACTTGCTATCCTCTACTCTAGTTAGAGAGGAATTGTTCCCTGTATAACCTGTATTACAAGTAAAGCTGACAGTCACTGAACTGTAGATGTAAAAAACACTGAATTGGCAGATGTGTTATATATATTTTACAGCAATTAACAAAAAAGGTATAGCTGAAAGAAATAGTTTAAAGCATTATTTGAGGTACGTGCAACCTGTTTATTCTAGGTTTTATTTATTCTATGATCCAAGAGAACTATCAGAATGCTGTATACTCAGATGATAATGAATTGATTCTGTGTGATTACTGTGCTTTGCTTGGGTATAGAAGTCACAGGAAGCCCAGTGCATTTCTTTCACAACTATTTTTGGCAAGGCTGCCCTCTGCATCACTTATCTGAAGATTATCCTAGAAAATGTTTAGACGTCAGTAACAGGAACACTGTACTAACGGCCAACGTAAGGCCTATCTCATATTGCCCGGGTCTTTCAATCTCAACTTGAATAATTCTAAACGAACATGACATCTGTATATTTATGTCAACTTCTCCAGTGTTATATGATACTCTGATTTTCTCTGATGCTGAATTTTATGTATTTCTACTATTTCATCTGAATGTACACACTCTTACAAATCTCTTGAAAACCACTGCACAATATGGGAAGTAAATCCCTAAGCAACTTACATGGGATATGTTCATTTTTCAGATGCTCTTGGGAAAGGGCCAAGAATGGTGAAGCCAGAGCTGGGTAAGCAAAAAGAGGGAATAGAAACATGAGAAGTCTAATACAGCAGTTCTTACAATTACTTACCAAGATACCCACAAACCCATTTAAGAAAATGGCCCTTTACCCATCTGAAGTTACAGAAATCAACATGGTGAGGGATTATCCATTTAATTCTGAAATGATCACATGGAAATTGCCTTACTGAGTGTATGTAAACAAACGTTTTCTACTAAATTACTCTTAATTACTCTGTAGCAAAAAGTTAAAAATAACCTGTGAAGCCAATAATAGGGAATTCGGTCAATAAAATTAGAATATCCTAAGTTTGTAACACTATTCCAGCATTAAAATTGATTCTAGAATTAAGATATTATTGACATTGAAAAATGCTGATAATATGTCACTGAAGTGCTTTAAGATGTTTGATCTTTTTGACTGTTTTGTTTCCCTGAGTTGCAGTTTCACAAGATTTTTTATTAAGAAACTTGTTTTAACTTAAATGTGGCAGAGGACAGAGCCCTGACCTGGGAATCAAGAGGGCTGAATTCAAGTCACCAAGAAACTGTATGACTTTGGGTAAGACATTTACCTTCTATGTCCTAATTTTGAGATAGGCAAAACAAAATAATCTTTAAAGACCTTTCTTCTACCTCCATTGTGGGATTATGTAAGGGAGAAACTCAATAAATGTCAGCTTGGTGATGCACATGGTTTGAGGGCAGCTCAGAATAAACAGAAAGGCAGAGTGGAGACTGTAAGGAATTGCATATATGTTTAGGATGTAATGGAGAAAGAAGTTCCTTAGCTTTGGCTGGCATCCCTTCCCTCCAACCCAAACCCCCACAAATCCTCCCATGCAGTATCTTTTCCTGTCAAATGTGCACCTTACCCATCCCTTCAATTTCAGCTTACACTTTTCCTCTGAAAGTTAAATGGAAGCTTTGCTGAGCCCCAGTAATTGATGGTCTCAGAATGTGGGGATATCACCCGGCACTGCTTATACTAGAGAGGAAAATTCTTGCCCAGTAACTCTAAAATGTGCTCCTTTCTGGGATTCTCCTGCCTCCGCCTTGAAATTCTATGGTAAGGTTTCAGTTCAGGAACATGTTCTTCCAGGTGTTGTTTCTGTTGACTTTCTGCTTTTTATTTAACTAGAGTAGTTTTGTTTCAAGGGCACTTAGGACTTGGGCTTAGAAGCCATATTCACACGAATTGGAACCTGCATTGGGGTTCCAGGATTCTAGAGTATGATGAGCTGGATTTTTCCTAAAATCTAATCAGGGCTACTGAGAAGTGAGATTATACTGCAGGAGGCAGTAAAAGCCTAGAAGCCTCAATTATGCCTTCTGACCTAAGGAAAATAGGTCAAATGGTTCGATTGTCAAAATACATGGAATTGCTTCCTGGGGCACACAAAGGCAAGTCATTGTGCCAAGGTAAACACAATGGGTATGGGTAGAAGATGTACATTACAAAGGCCATGAAACTAGGAGTAAAATAGATTTGGTTTTACAACTCAATCCATTCACCAGCTAGTTGTGTAACACTAAGCAAACCACTTTAACTCTTTGCAAATAGGGTTTTTTAAATGTGTTCCTACAGGGGTGGTAATGCTGACCTCACAAACTGGTTGGAAGCCGAGTGAGATACCTAAAAGTCTTTGGAACACTGATAGCATCAAACGAATATTTATTATGAGGACTTATGTTCTGGGCTTGATGTTTCACAGTGCTATCTTGTCTAACCTCAGAACAACCTATGAGGCAAATACTATTTCCATGCTCAGTTTACAGATGAGGAAAGAGGATCAGAGAGTTTAAATAACATGCCCAGAGATGCAGCACTATTTTGTGTCAGGACCAGATTTGAAACCAAATGAAGCCAAGGCCTGCGCCTCAATCACCTCTGTCTCTCTGTTTCTTATTCAATCACCCTAGTATATTTCTGTTTCTTATCCAACCTCTCCCATGCCCCTTGCTTAACTACTCTGTTAGTTTGTTTTGCAGAAAAATACCAGGTGTTTCAAGAAACCAAGGCCAGTGTGTTAGACAAGAACCAGCATGAACCAGATACAGCCCGCGGAACATGCGTAGTCAGACTGACCGTACCCGAATCACCTAGGTATGAGATTGATAAATATGTATAACTTCCTAAATTAGAATTCCAATAAAGACTGTAACCTAATCCCTACTCAGGGAGTCAGATCTGAGCAAGCCCCCTGGCTCCTTGCATTGCTGCTCTGCAATAAACTGCTTTCTCTTTCTTCAAAACTCGGTGTGTCTCGTCTCTTGGCCCTACAGCGCACTGGGCAGGGACCCACTTGGTTCGGCGACAATTTGGTGCCCAACATGGGGCACGTCAGGTCCTCCTGACCTTCTGCCCAGAGCCCGGTGGCCCTTAGGCGGCGGCAGTGGCACTCAGCTGGACCTCGGTGTGGACCCGGACTCTATTTAGTCCAGAGGTATTTGCTGAGTGTTTAGTCTCTGTCTGCAGTGTCCTCGGCTGGAGGACACTTTAAGGGAAACTAGTCCTGGTCTGAAGATGTCTCCTGGGTGAGTACTGATTACATTCTTTGAGTACACAAAAAGGGGCTGTCTGGGAGGTTGAGGCAACCAAGATTATCTCCGTCACCCCTGGTCCTGTCCTGATCTATGCGTGTGTGTGGCGTTGGCACGGAAGAAAGCTTTAAGTGAGGGTGAACGTGGTGTGTGGTGTGCTTGAGTGGAAGTGGGTAATCAGGGTTCAGTAGCAGAATGCAGCCCTCTTGGCTGCATTCTAAAGAACTGGTCTCATTTTAGCTACGAGCCTATGAAGGAGAAGAAAATGATTTTCTTTTGTAACACTGCCTAGCCACAATACCAACTTGGATCGGGTGGGAAGCGGCCAAATGGATGGGAGTTTAGACTATGATACTGTTTTCTAGCTAGATCTATTTTGTAACAGAGGGGAGAAATGGGATGAAATCCCATGTTTTTGTTTCAAAACAAGAACTTACAAAAATAATGCAAGTTAATGGTTATGCAGCCTAAGGACAAACCTGACTGTAAGTCCAATGAAGTCCTCCCTGACTCTGAGGATCCCTATCCTCTTAGTTCCCTTCCCTGTCCATCAGCACCCCCGCTTTATCCTCCAGAGCCACAGGTACCTCAGCCCACTACCCTGCAGGCTGCCTGGGAGGAGGCCCTCACCTTAGAGCCACCGAAGACCCCAGTCACTCTTTATCCTCCATTACCCACTGGAGCTCCAAGTGTCACTCTGGGAATGGTCTCTCCTGCCCACACCTGTAGTGGTGTACAATTTGGTCAGGGGTCTGCCCCAGTCCCGCAGGAACAATATCTTTTGAGGCAGATTCCAGCCAGGCTTGATCATTAAGAAAACCCTTGGGGTTTCATTTGGACACGTCTCTTTTACAACTGCGGATGTGTTAAACTGGAAAAATAATATACCTGCCTACTGGGAGAATCCTAAATGGATGGAGACATTAGTAACTTCCATATTTGCAGTCCACCATCCTAACTGGGCTGATATTAACATGCTACTAACAACACTGTTGACTCCGGAAGAAAGACGCATCATACTAGAGAAGGCTAAACAAGAGGCACAGAGGCTATACAACCTCCAACCACAGAATCCTATTAGAGGCCCTGGTGACCTGGCTGTACTGGTGAATTGATCCAGGATGGGATATGAACAATCCAGGAGATCAGACTAGACTAAACCATATGAAAGAATACATTATTATAGGATTGCAAAAAGGAGCCCCAAGGCACATTAATGTCCAGAAAGTTCAGGAGGTACAACAGGGCCCCAAGGAGAATCCTTCCACATTCTTAGAACAGGTGTATGAAGTCCATCACCAATACACTGACACTGATATGGATGATCCTCAGAATGTCCACGTTATTAATTTGACTTTCATGAGCTTGAGCGCCCGACATACGGCACAAACTCCAGAAATTAGACGGTGGACTGGAGATGAACACTTATCAACTTGTAGAGATTGCTTTTAAGGTTTATAATAACTGAGACCAGGCACAGGAGAAACAGAGACAAAGAGAGATTAAACAACAGGCTGCCCTGCTGGCTGCTGCCCCGGGAGGCCCGCCACGAGGTCAACTCATCCAGGTAAGTCCCTGTGGGCCCCAATGAATGGGGGGATAAATCAAGCTCAGCTCCCTCAAGGAGGTCAGCCAACAAAGCTGGGGCCTCAGCAGTGTGCTTGCTGCAAGAAAGATGGACACTGGAAGAAGGAGTGCCCAGAATGGCCCAGTCAGGCACAAACAGAAAGAGCCCAGCAGATAGTAAGCACGGCTGACAGTGACTAGGAACGATGGGGCCCAGGGGCTCCACTGCAGACTGGGCAAATTCCTGTCTCCCAGGAGGAGGCCCGGGTAGCTGTAACAGTTGGAAAACAGCCTGTCGAATTTTGGCGGACACAGGGGCTACTTACTCAGTCCTGAATGTTCCTAAGGCCCCTCTCTCCAACAAAACAACGAACATCACTGGAGTCTCTGGGAAACAGCACATAAAAATTTCCTTCAGCCCCTTGAGTGTCAGGCAGGAAGTATGGTTCTAACTCATAGTTTCTTGCATATGCCTGAATGCCCTGTTTCTCTCCTTGCCCAAGACATACTAACCAAATTAAATGTTCAAGTTACTTTCTCAGCTGACCAACTCCAGGTGAACGTCAGTCCTGACCAAGCACGGGCCTTGCAGGCAGCTCTTCTGCAGCTACCTGCCACTGACTCTGAAACAGTGCATGGAGAAATCTTATAACGGGTAAACCCAGGAGGTGTGGGCCGCAGGAGTTCCAGGCAGGGCTGTCAGAGCAACACTGGTCAAAGTAGGACTGAAACTCAGCTGTAAACCTCCCAATCTCAGACAATACCCCTTGAAGAAGGAAGCTAAAGAGGGAATTAAACCCTTAATTGAAACTTTCCTTGCGCATGGATTAATCCAGCCACGTCAGTCACCGTATAATACCCCTACTCTCTCAGTGAAAAAGCCTGGCACAGGAGAATACTGGTTCATACAGGACGTAAGAGCAATAAACCAGGTGGTAAAACACATTTATCCAGTGGTGCCCAATCCATATATCTTACTTATGGTGCTACCAGGAGACTATGCTACCAGGAGACTCACAAGAGATATTTGCCTTTTAGTGGGAGGATCCCACATCTGGGACCAAGACCCAGTTTTGCTGGACAGTTTCACCACATAAAAACAGTCCCACATTACCAGAGACCTTTGAGACCCACCTCTAAAAGATAGTGCTATTCTACAGTACATAGATGATACCCTGATTGCCAGCCCTACCAAAAAAATCTCTGATAAAAACACTAATAAACTTATAAATTTCTTAGGAGATACAGGATACAAAATTTCAAAGAAAAAGGCCCAGGTTTCTGTTCAGGAAGTATTTAGGATTTGAACTGTTACAGGGACAAAGAGACCTGTTGTCAGTGACGAGGTGATAATCCAGGTGGCAGTTCTGACTACTAAGTGCCAGCTTTGTGGATTCCTTGGAATGGCTGGATTCTGTCGGATTTGGATACCCAATTTCAGGCTTATTGTAAAACCCCTTTACTAAGCAGTAAAAGGTAAGGACTCTGATCCCCTAGACTGCAAAATTAGGATCTGCACCAGCCCTGGGTCTCCCAGATGCCCGGAAGCTGTTTGAACTGTTTATGCATGAGAGGCAGGGAATGGCCCTAGGGGTTCTTACTCAAAATCTGGGTCCTTGGAAGCGAACTGTAACTTATTTCTCTAAGCAACTCAATGCTGTGGCCCAAGGGTGGCCTACACGTCCGAGGGCTGTGGCTGAGACTTGCGCCTTTGTTGACTGAGGCTGAAAAGTTTACTCTGGGCCAGCCCGCCATGGTTTTGACCCCTCACCATGTGCTCTCGGTGTTAGAACAAAAAGGAGGATTCTGGTTAACAGCAGGCCAACTTGGAAGATATAAGGCAGCCTTACTTGATGATCCTGATGTCACCTTGAAGGCTGTGTCAACTTTTAACCCAGATACTCTACTCCTGGTGCCTGAAGGTGAGGGACCGGTGCATGACTGCCTTGAAATAATCGAGGAGGTATATTCCAGTCGCCCAGACCTTACTAACCAGCCTTTAGACAACCAAGATTTAGAGCTCTTTACAGATAGGAGCAGTTTCATAGACAATGGCACTCATAAACCTGGGAATGCAGTAGTGACCCTTTTTGAAACCAAGGAGGCTGAAGCGTTGCTCCCAGGGACTTTGGTTCAGAAGGCAGAAATAACTGCCTTAATCCGAGCGTTAGAATTAAGTAGTGGACACTGGGTGAACATTTTCACTGACTCTCGGTATGCCTTTTCAGTGCTCCATGCCCATGGAGCAATCTGGAAAGAAAGAGGTCTCCTAACCTCAGGAAGAAAAGAAAATAAACACACAGAAGAAATACTTAAATTATTAGGGGCAGTCAACTTGCCTACAGAAGTAGCAATGATATACTGCCCTGGACATCTAAAGGGAGACTCTGTTATTCCAAAGGGCAATCACCTCGCAGATGCTGCTGCCAAGCAAGCTGCTAAAACTAAGCTTCTTGTAACTCTGGTGGCCACTTTGATCCCTGACCTGGACCTTACTGACTCAGACCCTGGGTATTCAGATGATGATTTAACAGAAGCAGATGAATGGGGCTTTAACCGAAACAAAACTAAAGATTAAAAAAAAAAAAAAAACCCAAATCCGTTGCCATCAAGTTGATTCCAACTCATAGCAACCCTGCAGGACAGAGTAGAACTGCCCCATAGAGTTTCCAAGGAGCACGCGGTGGATTCGAACTGCCAACCTTTTGGTTGGCAGCCATAGCACTTAACCACTACTCTACCAGGGTTTCCAAACTAAAGATAAGTAGGTCCATAATGAACAAGGGGTAGTCCTAGTCCCTGCACACTTAATGCATGATGTTGTTTTAGCAGCCCATACGAGTACCCATTATGGAAGGGATGCCCTGTATGCCTGGTTAAGTAAACTTATTGCAGGACCAGACCTGCATAAAACCATCCAGAAGGTGACACAAGGATGCCTAATCTGTGCCAAAAACAACCCGAAGTGCAGCCCACCTCCAGTGGTGAAAGGAGTCCAAGCAAGAGGACTGGGGCCATGCGAAGACTAGCAAGTAGACTTCACTGTTATGCCAACAGCCCCAGGAGGAATTAAATACCTACTGGTATTCGTAGACACCTTCACCAGGTGGGTAGAAGATTTCACTTGCCACACTGAAAAATCATTGGAAGTCAGTAAAGCTCTATTAAGAGAAATAATACCCAGATTTGGTCTGCCGGTTTCAATTCCAAGTGACCATGGAGGAGCCTTCATAGCCCAAATAGTCCAGCAGTTAACAGGACTTTTAGGTATTAAATGGAGGCTACATTCCTCTTGGAGACCTCAGTCAACAGGAAAAACTGAAAGGATGAACTACACTCTCAAGAAGACATTGCCCAAAATGTGCCAAGAAACTAACTTACCTTGGATAAAACTCTTGCCACTTGCCCTGCTGCGGGTCCAGGTCGCTCCCAGAAGCAGGCTTGGATTAAGCCCCTATGAAATGTTATGTGGGAGACCATTCTCTGGGGTATGGCACCCTAGTTATGTTAACAGGAGAGATCTTAAAATTATTAGAAAATATTCTTAAACATGTACAAAGTTTATCTGCTATCCTAAAAGTTATTAACCAGTCTGCTTCCAGCAGGTTGTTGTATCCCACAGATACTCCTCTCCACCACATGTCTAACCGATTGGGTCCTCCTCAAGGAGTGGAATGATGGAACCCCCCAGAGTTAGCTCCAAGCCAAGCAGACTGGGCCCTAAGAAGTCTTGTTGACCACGCACTCCTCGGCTAAATTCAAGGGAGTCCGACCTTGGATCCATCATACTCGACTAAAGATACCCATCTACGCAGACAACCCTCCTTGGCCCATCACGAAACCTCATGCCACTGGAAACAGTTTGGCAGGAAACGAAGACTCAAAAGGACCTGACCGACCTGACAACGACCTACCAACCTACAGTTGAATATACCTGTGAACCTACAGAAGATCTTAGATTACTGTTTAAGGAAAAACCTGCTAAAGATAAGTAATATGAATGGAGATACATTACTAGCTGTCTTAGTAAGTTCATTTGCTGTTTTTGTTCTTACTTTCTACTTTGTAAGTTTCTTTTGTCTGTTTCCTTCTAATTCCGGGTTAAATCATTTTAACTGTCCCTAACTTTCTACCTAGCCTCACTTCAAGATAAATCCCTGAATTCAAGCCTTCTCGTTCACTTTTGTGCTAATAATCGTATTAATAGTCTCCCCAGGTCTTCAAGAATCCCCATGGGCTAATAATTATGTCCTGCAGGTGTCCCAAAGCCTAGGTAACAGCACAAACATGACTTCCTGTTGGATCTGCCACAGTAACCCTGCGAGCTCCGCCCAGGTTTGTCTCCGTGTATCTTGTCTCTTGGCCTTATAGCTCACCGGGCAGGGACCCACCTGGTCCAGCAACACAAACATCCTGCTCTTAAACTGTCATGCAGCAATGTAGACATCTCCGCCCCTCCTCCACTAAGTCCCCACTGACATGTCTTTCCCAATCGAATCTCCATCCTGCCCACTGCTTCAACTGTACCTTACATCTTTCTTTTCAGAAATACTTAGTAATATAACAACTAATATAAGGATAATATTCAATTCTCGTAATAAAGATGCGTTCTCTTCCCCGCTGCCCTCTACTACTTTTCTACCCAGCCCGGTAGGTTGCAGATCGGCTGCAGGACCACGTACCTCAGCGGAACTTTTGGAACCAGATTTCAGCCATTTGGATGTATAAACCTTTCACCTTCACAGAGCACCTTTTTCAGACAAAGGAGGGCCACGGGCAGAGTCTGCCTTGGGGCCTGCAGGTCAGAAGCCCAAACGTGCCCTCGCTGCCTTTCTCCGAGGCCGACAGCCGCTGGGTGACCTTCCTCGAGAAGGATGCGGACACAGCGCGCGTCCACCCTCCGCCGACCCGTCTCCACCCAGCCAGAACCTTCCTGATGGCCCCCGAGGGCTAGGAGCTCCCCGCCAGCCCTTTCTCTAACTTGTTGGTGCATCCGCTTCGCTTCCACTTCCGCACCCGGCCCAGGCAAGCGCGGAAAAAAGCGATCTGAACGCTTAAAGACCCTCCCCCGGAAGAGCCTGGAGCGCCCAGGTGGAGAACTGTAAACAGCACATGCGCAGAAGAGGCCTCTGGGCCGCTCTTCCCAGGGTTCTCAACTGGTGGTCGGCCGCCTTTCGGGACTACATTTCCCGTAAGGCGCAGCGGCCTCCGCCTTTGGCTCACGAATCCTTTCAAGAGTTTCCGGTTTTGTTATGGGGAAGATTGTTGTGAGCAGCTAAAGCAAAAAGAAAAGTTGTGTATCAATTTA